AAAATTGCTAGGATAATAGTTTACTGAAGATTGTGAAAATGATGAGGCGGGGTAAAATAATCCTCAACAGTCAAAAATTACATTTATTAAAGATAACATTCGTCAACTAGAATGAATCAAATAAATCTGAGCTGTTTCATATTTTCATATTTTTGAGTGCCTGCTGTATATTGTAAATAATTTTCCAATTTTTCAATAAAAATGGGCAAATATTGTTTTCGAAACTATAAAGCTCATCAAATTTTAATATCGTGGATTAAAAAGAACAGACCATTTTTTTTTAACTAAATCATTTAATGGATAAAAATAAAATAACTCTCATTATAATTGATAAATCTTATTAACTTAAAGCTGTTGTTATAAAATGTAAAAAATTATATTCAGTCGTCATTGCAGTTATTAATTATTTTATTATGTTAAAACACCACCGTACACTTGTACCGTGCTTGAATAGAAAATTTGCAATTTTTTTCTTCTTCATCGTCATAAATGTCACCTAAGCATACACGTATCAACATAAAATCTTACAGATCACGAATTCAGACTTCGTTTAGTGTCTGCATTTTTTAAAAGTGAACGCGTTCTTGATTCCTTTCCAGGCTCTTTTAAAGGAACTGGTTCGTACTGTTACAATTTCCGGTTGTTGTAATTGTGGTACTCTACTATGCACCACATCGATTTCTGCAACATTTGACTGTCCCATGTCACACAAACTTGCTGGTAACTCGTCGAAATTAGGGATATGAAATATCTCCAATTCTGTTTCCGCTTCTAGGTAACTAGTCGATGACGGTCTTCTTTGAAAGTGCTCGTTGAAATAAAGAACTTTTACACCAGATTGATTACTATTGTAATTTATAAGCTGCAAAATTCGAGCCTGAAAAAAAAAAAGAATGAAAGCCGACTGCATCTTTGAATAACAAAAAATTAATATATTTTGATGTGTTTTCTGGTAATTATAAGAAAATATTACAAATAAAAGGTTCTAAATTTTTTAAGTTATGTATACTTCTTTCTTTTTACTATGCAACGGAAGTTGCGCGCGCACGGTAGATTGAAGTTTGCAACATAGTGAGTGCGACCGAGATGTTACGAAATATATTTAATATAAACACAACTCACGTCGACGATTTTACTTCATCGTAAAATTCTAAAATGTCAGCTGCACTAAGGAAT